AAAGACAAGAAAAAGAAATGAAGGAGTAAGATAATAATTACTTGCAGAAAATTTGATTCTTTACTTAGAAACTTCATGACAATGAGCTGATGTGTCATTAAAGAAAAGTAAGGAAATTCAGTAAAGTGAGTATTACAAATATAATGAGCGAATTAATAGCTTTCTATATATAAATGGCTACTTGTTAAAATTTTAATTTTAAAAATCCCATTTACAATAACAGTAAACACAAACTATTCAGGAAATGATCTAATAAGGAATGGACAGGAGTGAATAATAGATCCACATATCCCACACTCTCAGAGAACAGCTTTTACGGTTTTTAAAATTTTAGCCTATAGAAGGCTAGACTCCCAGCAGAGTTCATGTACAATTAGAGTGAAAATGAGTCCCTGGAGCTAGGCTGGCTTGTCATCACATTTTAGAAAGGAAAGAGCACTGTCCCTGGAGTCCAGACCCCAGAGGTCTGACTTGTTCACTAACTGACTGTGTGACCCACACAAATAACAACTTTTCTGGATCTCGGTATCCTCAGGGTTTAGGAAAAAAAAGAAAAAGATCACATGTATTAAATCAAATGTTATAAAGTGGAGTTCACAGATGTGCTTCATTTGGCTTGCCTGAAATTAGTTTTATTTAGTAGTTGAAACTGGGATACTGCACATAAAAATCTGCATTCTCAGCTTCCTTTTGAAAATTGCACAATCTGACATAACAGGGCTGGCCTCTCCCATTGCTACAATTAGCTGCAGCTGCAGATGCAGAGGCTGCTGCTCCCTCTCTCAGAACCTGGCCCCAGTTTTGCAGACCCTCTGCTCCCACCATGGTGACACCACCACGGTGTCAACAGTCTGATTATTTACCTGATCAGCTGACCCTGAAGGCATTTCGTTGCAGCCCTTAGTCATTCTGTAAGGTTTCTTCACTTTTGCAATGTAATGATTCTAAAATTCAGTCTAGCTGTCAGTCTAGAAAATATATTCCTCTTCCATATTACTTAAAAGCCTGAGCATTTGGAGCTAATGTGGGTGTTGCAAGCTCTGGCTTGATGCTTTTCTTTCTTTTTCCTTTTGCTTGCAGCAGACAATCCTTGGTTACCATGGTGATTACCATCCCTTAATGATACACTGCTACCGCACAGGGAATGTAATTTTCTTTAAGTGTGATGGAAAGCAGTGGGGAACAGGAGTAGGTATAAAAGCTTTCTCTCCTCTCTGTCCCTGGGTGCTTCTCCGTCACCACAAAGGACAAGAGCAGGCTGCTGATCAATCTCTCCAGACAAGCTAACACGAGAGCTGCTGTCAAGATGTAAATATCTTCCCTGGATCCCAGTGCACATGTGGGAACCCTGAGAAAAGCTATTTTCAACCTCTGAAAAGTGTTCTGCATTGTCTCATGGGACTTAATTAAAATAATCAGTTTTCACAGTCAAGGCTTTTAATTCTAACCTCCTACACAAAATGAGCATCCCATGTGCGAAGAGGCCCGGCTCACACATACTCAGAGCCAGTGACGTCTCTAACTGCATGCTTGTCCCCTGGTAGGATCGGGGCTGGCCCTTTCTGACTAAACTGAAGAGAATGGCCCTGCCTGGACCTTCCAGGTCTCAGTTTTGAGGTGTCAGGAGTTCTGACTGTGGCCAGAGAGATGGGAGAATAAGGTAACCCTCCAGCACCTAGGGGCTCCCTCCTTGGGATGTCACTTTGAGAGGCAGGTCAGATTTGCCCAGTGCTGACCTGGCTTACCAGTGCTTTGAAGTCTTTAACTCTTAAAGTCCATTTTAAAATCATGACCAGAATATAACAAAAAAGCAGCAGATTCACAGATACAGAGAAAAAAATAGTGGTTACCAGTGAGCGGGTGGAGGCAACATAGGGTGGTGGAGTAGGAGGTACAAACTACTGGACAGACTACTAAGATAGACTCAAGGATGTATTACACAACATGGGAATACAGCTAATATTTTGCAATAATTCAATGGAAAATAACCAAAAACTGTATTAAAAATTTTTAAAAAGAAAAAAATTAAGAAAAATTAAATAAAAATTTAAAATTACAGCCAAACAGAAAACTGGACCAAAAAAAGTTTGAATTTTTAAAAAATTTATTACTATTTTAATTATGATGACTAATTTTATTGTGGTAAGAATGCTTCACGAGATCTACTCTCTTAGATTTTTAAGTGTATAACACAGTTGCTATCTCTAGGCACAAAATTGTACAGCTGATCTCTAGAACTTACTCATTTTGCACAGCTGAAATGTTATACCTGTGGATTAGCAATGTCCCATTTCCCCCTACCCCTGATGCTGAATTTTAAGAAATGAATTAACAGACTGGAGTCACCTCTACAGGACTTACCCTCTCTTTTCCTCTTTCCTGCTCCATCAAATTTCCATAGCTAAAATTTGATTAAAGCAAGTTAACTGTGGTATATTTATACAGTGGAATATTATTCAGCCATAAAAACCAACAACATAATGCCATTTGCAGCAACATGGATGTTCCCGGAGACTGTCATTCTAAGTGAAGTAAGCCAGAAAGAGAAAGAAAAATACCATATGAGATCGCTCATATGTGGAATCTTAAAAAAAAAAAACCATAAATACAAAACAGAAACAGACTCATAGACATAGAATACAAACTTGTGGTTGCAAAGGGGGCGAGGGGTGGGAAGGGACAGAATGGGATTTCAAAATTTGTAGATACTGACAAGTATATGTAGAATAGATAAACAAGATTACACTGCATAGCACAGGGAAATATATACAAGATATTGTGGTAGCTCACAGCGGAAAAAAAAAGTGACAATGAATACACTTATGTTCATTGTATAACTGAAAAATTGTGCTCTACACTGGAATTTGACAAAACACTGTAAAATGACTATAACTCAATAAAAAAATGTTAAAAAAAAGCAAGTTAACTGAATAGATATGAGATAAAACAAGTAGAATCTAGATGACAGGTATACAGAAGTGTCCACTGAAAAATTATTTGACTTCTCTACACATTTGAAATTTTCGTAATAAATAATGGAAAATAAACGACTGAAGCACAGTTTACCAAAGGGTGGCCCACAGGACACAGAAGGCCCATTGACATGATTTATTTGGCCATCAAGATTTTTTTAAAGTTTTAAAAATTGTAATTTTATATACTTTGTATTTTTTAGATTTTTAAAAAGATTTTCGGTGGGAGGTAATTAGGTTTTATTTACTTATTTTAATGGAGGTACTAGGGATTAAATCCAGGACCTTGGGCATGCTAAGCACACACTCTACCACTGAGCTATACCCTCCCCCCGCATATAATTTTTAAAGGTTTCTTTCCATTAACCATTATTACTAAATATTGGCTATAGTCCTCGTGTTATACATCCTCGAGTGTATCTTACATCCAATAGTTTGTATCTTCCACTCCCCAACCTCTATGTTGCTACACCACCCCCACAACTGGTAACCACTAGCTTTTCCTCTTTATCTGTGAGCCTGTTTCTCTTTTGTTATATTCACTAGTTTGTTGTGTACGTTTTTTTTTTAATTGAACCAGTTGCAAACATTTTAAAAGGCAGGAGACTTAAAATAAAAATATAAAAATCTGGATTTCCAGCTTCTCTAGAAAAATCAGGAAATCCAATACCACCAGGCCCCACACTCATGCATGGAAACATCTGGCTGGAGCTGGGGAGTGGCTGCCCCTCTTGATGGGCACGTCCTCTCCACCTGGACACAGACTCCACTAGATATGTACTCCTTATTTATCTTACTTGAATGGGCCAGCTTCACTGATACAGAGCAACCTCAAAAGGCAGGAAAAAGGAAGAAAAGGGGAGCATGTGTGTCTGTGTGCACACATGCAGTTGGCAGGAAAATGCAGTCCTGCACCTTTGTCTTTGTTTTACGTGGCTAGGGGCAAAGCCTACTCCTTGGCCTCCTGCTCACAGCCTCCCGTGATCCTGCTCAGTGCCAAGCCATGAGGCTAAGTGGGCAGAGTAGCCACAAACAGCTCTGGGTGTGGCTGTATCAAAAGGCAGGTCTTGGGACTAGCTGAGCAAGGCTGCATTTATTTTAGATGTTTGCCTTCTGACTAAAATGCCTCAGTTAGTGCACTAAATAGACCGTCTGCTGTCATTTTGCTGCCATCATCATTTATCATACAGCCTCATTGTTAGATGCCAGGCAAAGAGCCACAAGAACTCAGTTGTCCCAGAGTCTAAATTTGATCTGTGCATATCAGGACAGGAAAATTCTACCTCTTTCATTTTTCTTTCTGCCATAAAGGAGGTGTGTGGGTTAAAATACTTTCTCAGAGGCAAATGAATGCTTGTTGCAGTGTTTAGTGTTTCCAAAAATTGATTTTTTCCTCTGCTTATGCCTTTTCCTTGCAGGGATCCACACTGAAGACAATGCCTTCCCCGAGGTGTGCTGTGTCCCCGAAGTCTATTCTGGCTTGGGAGGTCCCAGGGTGGGAGCCACATCTATTAAGCCTGCTATCTGAATAATCAGTCCACTGTGAGTGCTGTCAGCAGGGTGATACATCCTCTTTGGTGATGATCATGAAGGTGAACTCAGCTCCCTTTGCCCTTCTGACTCTATTTCCAGTGCTTTCTATTGAGCTTGGAATCAATTCTGTCTCCTTCCTTGGCCAGCTGTCCTTACATGGTCTGACCTCTGCTTATCTTTCAGCCTTATGCTGTCCAGTTCTTCCCTGTCTTCCCCAGGCTCCAGCCAGGCTCTCTAGTTCTTAAAGAGAAAGCTTCTATTTCTTAAATATCCACAGCTTGTCCCTGCCCTGGGCTGCTTACAGACTCCTCCCTCCGCCTGGACCACTGTTCCCCCAGCTCTCAGCCTGGCTGGCTGCTTCTCTCAGTCCAGCTTCGGGTCCCATACCAGCCACTCAGGGGCCTTCCCTGACCACCATCCCTTTCCCCTTATTCACAATTGCTATTATATTATGTCCTCAGTTTTCCCCCAATATCTAAAGTTATTTTCATTTACCTGTTCTCATTTGTTACTGCCTCTTCTACTTCAGTGCAAGTTCCACAAAAAGAAGGACCTTGTCTCTTATTCACCAGAGAATCCCCCATTCCTGGAACAAGTGTTTGTTTTGGTGGGACGGGTAGGTAATTAGGTTTGTTTATTTTATTTATTTTAATGGAGGTACTGGCGATTGAACCCAGGACCTTATGCATGCTAAGCACAAGCTCTACCACTTAGCTCTGCCCTCTGCCAGGAACAACCAGGATTCATTTAATCCATGAATGTCCATGCCCAGGAAGGTGAGGAAATTCTAACAACAGAAAGGCTGCAGGCATTAGGGCAAAGGCTTTAAAAAAAATAATTAAGTCTATACACATTATTGGGTCTGCCTTTAAGAAGGGCCTTTGTGTGTTATATCTGGATACCAGTATTAAATAAAACTGTGGGAGAGGAACGCTGAGATTTGCTGGTGGAATTTATTTCTTTAATAAGTACGAGTTTATAACATGGCTTTGATGGTGATACAAAAGGCAAGGTTGCCATCTAGTGTTTAGATGTGTAGATGTGTGGCACCAGCCATACCTTAAAAAAAAAAAAAGTTGAATGAGTCTATAGAAAGCCAAACTTCCACAACCTACTATAAGATAAACCGGAATTTACCAAGGGAGTATAATTCCCCACAAAGTGTCTCTTACGAGGCCCCAGACGGATTCGTCCAGTCTCTTGGGCTCCTGCCAAAAGTTGAGATGCTGTGTTTGTTAGCTACTAAAGAAATCCCAAGCAACCAAGGGAACTGTCAAACTCAGTTTCCCAAGGTAGCGTATTCTCCAGACTGTGTTTCCTTAAATTCCACCTGTTTCCCTTGTCAAGGTGTGCTGCTTACATAATAAATGAAATCAGTGTCAAAGAAAATAGCAACCCACCACCTCAACTGCTTTTTGTCCTGGTGACATAGGGAAGGATGTACCCTCAACATTAAGGAACTTATGAACCAGGTATCAACTTAGTAACTATAGATCTCTCAGTGGCAACCAAGCACAAGCTTACCTGTGCTGAAAAATCTTGGGAGCCTTAGCCTGGGTATTTTCCATTTCCCAGCCATGATGAAGGCCAGTAAGACAAAGGGAAGCTGTGAAAAGTGCCCAGATGAGGGTGGCACCAGGGGAACCCATTTAATAAAGAGTCATGGTATAGGCACCTAAAATAACACTCCAGGAAACCAGGTTATTAGAAATGATGGAAAATGGGTGGTGAGGTGAACTAGTGGATGGGAATAACCATGGCAATCAAACTATCCATTTTCTTATTATTTCACTATCCTTGAGACTAAAAATAGATCAAGTGTAGGTCACTGCAAACAAGTTCAGCAATGGTTTATGTCTACTGCTACAGCTTTTGCTAGCTTTTTTGTGGGCACGCTAAGAAATGCTCTCCTAACACTGAAAATTTATAATGTACCGTTTGTTCTAACCATACAGTCTGTGCTCTACATATTAATGCATACACTGTTCTATTTTTGCTTTAAGACATATTTTCTAAGACCAAATAAGAAGTAGTTATGGAATTACAAAGTCAGAATTAGAATGCTTTTTTGGAAATCACTTATTCGATGCAGGAATCTTTTTTTTTTTTCATCCTAAGAGATCTAGGCTCTATTTAAATCTCTGGAGTGACAAGGAGCTCGCTACTCCATGATGCAGCAATTCCATTATTAAACTAATCATTGGGAAGTTCCTTCTCTATTTCCATTTATTCGTGCAACTGGCATTTATTTAGCACCTCCCACTGAACAAAATGAACTCAGTCCCTGAATGTATGGAAGTTACAATCTGCTTCCCTGTACCTTTTCTAGGGGTTTGTGCAACTGGAAGCAATAGAGAAGACCATTGTCTATTTTTCTATCAAGAATGTCTAAAGTTTGTAGATGTAGATTTTAGATATAAAGCTTTAGTTTTTCCCTTACCAACACAGCTTGAGAAGTCAGCAAGGATTCCTCAGCTTCAAGCAAGCAAACTAATGAACAAAGCCCTGGCTAAAAATCAATCTATTTGAAGCACCAGAGGAGCCTGGCTGGCAGGGACGATGAAGACTCAGGTTTGCTCTCTGCTCTGACTTTTGAAACCCACCTGGTCCAGCCCAGGTACCAACACTGTGTCAATTTTGCCCTTACTTTCAAATAAGCATATTTACACACCAAAATTGTGACCCGCATCCATTCCTCCTTTCACCGTCTTACCCATGAGCATTTTGTGAATACAAATGAGCTTAGATGGTTTCACACGCTTGTTCTTGGGAACCAGGCAGTTTTGCTAAAAGTACACACAGGAACATTCCAGATTTTTGCTGGAGATTGATATGAAGACGAAATATCTGCATATCTATTTTAGAAAAGAGAAAAGTCTTTAACTCTCTCCACTATTTTGGCAGCTCCCGTGTGTTTTTGGAGATTACTACAGTATCTCCAATCACATCTGCCAATTCCTTCAGGGCTTTGGAAGAGAACTCACGTGGGCCCAGTGTCATTTTTAAAGCTGCCAGGTTTGCTCACTCTTGCATTTACATGAGCTACCTTGCTTCTACCCAGTCTAATTTGAATATCAGTCTCCCTGCCTGGAAGAGGCCTCGGAACTGCCGATTAGATCTGCCTTCACCTGACAGAACCGTGCTGTGTTTAAAAGAGCAACAGCTTTGCAACCAGAAAGACCTGGTTTAAGCCCTATTCCTGTCTCATACTAGTTTGTGGCTTCAGTCCAGTTATTTATCTATTCTCTTTCCATTTGCTTATCTAAAAAATGGACATAACTTCACAGAGTTGTTAGACTGATTGTATTAGTCAGGAGACAGAAACCACACCAGTTATTTTAAGAGGACTTCATATATTCATCAACCAAATACTGAAGAAATGAAAAGGTAAAAAAGAAACACTAAGGAAGTAGCTGACTTAGGAAGTCGTTACCACTGTAAAACTCAGGGAATAAATGCAGGAGTTTGGGACTGTTAAGGTTTAGAAGGTTGAGGACGGGCCCTGCAAAGCTGAGGCTAGGGCCTCTGAGAAGGGTCACTACTCACCTGCACTACTGCCTCAGGTGCTTGAAGGCAGCATCCCTAGGTGAGACCCAGACCTCTGTGGAGGGCGTGAAGACTGGCTGGTGCTGGAGTCTCTAGCGGCTGAAACGGCGCTGGTTCCGTGAGTGTCGTTTAAGACGTGAACCAGAATCACCTGCACCACTGGAACCACCTGCTGACGCCGCCTAGGTGAACATGCTAGGATGGTGCTGACAGGAACGTGAGATATAAAGGAACAGGAAGTGCACGGGGAGGAGTTGCCCCTTCCTCCTCCGGCTTGGCGGGCTCCCTCTAGCGCCCCCTATTGGCAAGCCCTAACAGGCATCCCGCTGATAAAGGAGAACTTAGGTTTGTGGAGTCCCAGCCCTGGAATGACACAGCCAGGCAGGAAAGGGTGAGTTTGATGCTAGGAAACAAAAACTTAGTAACTGGTCACTCTGTTGCCTACTCAGCAACCACAGGCTTCTTTCTTCCACACAAGAGCTCCCCTGTGCACTTTCAGACACGGAAAACAACGGCAGGCTTTTGCCTCCGAAAATACAACTTTTTTTTTTTTAACACAAATGAAGATCTCAACCTCATTGTATCTCAACTTCCCAACAGTCTCCCAAAGCCCCAGCAGTCACTGTATCTACCTCTGGGAGACAGTCACGTTATCCATCTTTGAACTATTTTAGTTACTCTCAAATTTAAAGCCTCACCAGAACATTCTATCACTTAAAGACTTAATTGTCTTACAGGAAATTAGCAAGGGGTAGGAGAAGAAGAACTACAAAATGAGTTTCTATCAGGGGTTGACCCACTCCAACTCACTGGTCAAATCCAAATTTAAAAATAAAGTTTTTTTGGAATGCAGCCACACCCATTAATCTATGTATTGTCTCTGGCTGCTTTGGGCCCACAAGGGTAGAGTTGAGTACTTGCGACAGAGACCATATGATCCGCAAAGGCTAAACTATTTATGATCTGGCCCTTAACAGAAAAGGTTTTACCCTTTAGGTAAACACACATGAACACGCGCATGCACACACACACACACACACACACACACACACACACACTCTCTAAAACTGGCGTATTCCAAGTTTTCTATGCTCTCAGTCAGAACCTCAGCTACTTCTTTACTTGGTGAGGTGACCCAAATAATCATTCCTGAATGAATGTCGGAATGAATTCAGAAGTGTCTGAATCCTAGTGGTTCTGCCTTTTTTTGGTTGCTGGAGTTACCCAACTTTTATTATTGGTCATGGAAGTACTGAAATAGACCCCAGAGAATCCCTAAATTCTAGACATGGTCCTCCCTACCTTCCTTTTGTGGCAGCAACACAACTGGCTCTTGGTAATCAGCATCAGTCATCCCAGCAAGTAGATTAATCTTCTTTACCTGTTGGTTCAGACACATGAGGACCTCAAAATGACCAGGTGGGAGCCTCATTTTCCAACTCAGTGGAAACACTGCTGTGTACTCAAAAGGAATCATTCTTCCCTCCAAACCAGTACAGAGCACTATTTCAGACCCAGGAGGCAAAAATTCTGCAAGAAGGTTATTAGGTCTAAGAGTGAGAGGAGCCACACCCACATCTACCCCTTGATTCCACATATGCTGGTTGTGGATGAAGGAGCACTAAATATTGGTTATTGATCTAAGCACGAACTGTATCCTGTAAAACAGAGTCCCACACTTTCAGGCTATCCTCTTTTAACTGGCATTGTAACCTAGCTTGCAGTGGGCCATCTCATCCCATCTATTGGGCCAGCTGCTTCTGGACCACAATAAACATGGTAAGACAGATAGGCATCTGGTGTGTTGTGTCTTCTGTACAACATGGTCCAAAAAGGCATCAGTGCCAGTAACAGATCAGGCATACCTCCAGGTCAAGGAGCTGTCACAGTGATCTCTGGTGAATGAAAGAGGCTAGCTTAGCTAAACATCCATGGGATTCTCTCAATCTCCAGTCCTACCTAGGTGTTCTTTGTGCTTCTTTCTTTTCCTTTTTTTCCCTAGAAATCTAGAATCTAGGATTTTCCTGGATTTTCTCCTCCTGAGTCTGTCACCAGCGCTGTCAAAGGCTGTCTTAGACCAGAAAGGGCTTCCTCTGCTGGGAACTGCGAGGCTTCCAAGCCACTGAGGGATTCCTTCCAGCTGAACAGCATGGTCAATGGATGATTAGAATGGTTGTGCAGAATAGGTATGGCAGGCCTGGAAAAGGAGTTCCTTCTTTCCCCTGGGCACTGCGACTGAGTCAGGATGAGGCCAGCCTGGTGTGCCCGGACCCAAGGTCATGTTTCAGGTCAGCTAAGCCGGGCTCTATGGCCATAGCCCAACCCCTTCTTTAGCATTTAATGCGTCATACTTGACATGAATAAAATCAAACCTTATTTTGGTCATTTCTGCTAAAGTCATACTTAGTGAAAGTAATTCATGATTCATAATTATCAAAAGTAACACCAGGGTTTCATTGGTCCCAAATGATCATCATAAGGCATCCTGAAAAGGAACAAACAGCCAAGATTGTGGATAAGCTCAAATACTAAAGATTATTGATTTGTAACTGTGTGAGTTTTTAAGTGCTTTTCCATCTAATAAGAGTGATAAATTTTGTGTGTTGCAAATTTTGACTGTTTCCCAGTTTGTAGTTGGTCTTTCAATTATTATATAAAAAGAGTTTAAAATTTTTTACTTGAGGCTTATTTATTTGTCATTTAATCAGGAAAAAAAACTTTATAAATATCCAAATAACATTTCTTATACTTCCCTGGATTCTTTGAGTCATTGTGCTGTAGAATCAGGGCAGGGCTGGCAGGAAGTCAGAAGCCAGTGCCAGTTGTGCTCACAATACCACCTAATATGCTGTGTGTCACTCTGGGCGTGAACTCTCTGGGTCTCAGTTTCCTCATCTGTAAAATGAAACGAGTAGATGAGATGAGTTCAAGGTCTTTTTCATTTTAAAATTATGACATGAAATGACAAACGATATAATTTCATGTGATGTGACTGATAAAAGGATAAGGCAGGG